TATATAATAAACTCTACTACCCCGAATTGGGTATCTATGTTATGCCCCCATCCCCACCTTTAGCCAAGAACCTTTGCTCTTTGCATTTTGGAAGAAAAAAATGGATCATCAACAACGTCCCACTAATATTTTGTCAAAAGTGAGGGAGTTGATTCTAATGTTGCGGGTTTGCATCCTTTTGTGGGATGTGAAGACCATGTAAACCAAGGGCCCATGTCCCAAAATATCCTTCAATGATCAATGTCGTCAGTTGCTATTAACACCCTTCCCCGCAGTTACGCATTTTAACGAATATGCCATTTCCTATTTCTAACGCCAAATCACGCATTTACCGTTTTCCCGCAATCACGCATTTTCAGGCACCTTAAAAAGTTCATGAACTCTTCAATTTATTGCGAAATTCAAACCATTTTATACTTGCTTGAATCTCATTGAATTAGAAAAGTTATTTTCTAATTAAAATATCATTTCAGAATATTATTTCCACTAAACTTTAGAGAAATTTGTACCCCGCTATAAAGTGCTTGCGGCGAAATAGTAAAGTAATATTTTTATGACGCGAGGATTTAATGTATGTTGCATAGCAATTCTGTAAGTTGTAAAGAGTTAAAGGAAAGAATGTGCAGCCTTTCGCGGGCAAGTCTTTATATGAGCAACAAATTCTTGAGAGGAACATTAAACAAAATACATTGTACTATCAATATTTAACATGTTTAACGTCCATTGAGAGAATTTATTCATCTCTTGTGACGTACTACCATAACCACTGAAGTTCCTGTCACAAGGGGGTGCTCCGCTTGGCGGTGCCCTCGTTTAAACCTAAAGTAGGGTGAACTGCATTTATTTTGCGTGTTAGTATACGGTTACTAAATGGACATACTGCACGTGAAAATAGACATTTTGACCGAGGTGTACGGCGATCCTCAAATTACTGGATCTGTCAATTTGTGTTTGAATTTATAAAACAATACGGCTCGGAATATTAACTTAATTTCCTGTACATGTCATTGCGTGGGCTTTGTTATGTTTCAAGTTTATGAAAGTCAAAAGCATTAAATTTTAAGCCCGCTGTGTAAATTTCATTTTGGATTAAAAATCGACGTGCAAAAATCATGTTTTTTTTTTAATTTACAGAAGGCATTCCTTCACTTTAACATGAATGTGTATTTACTTTTCCCTCGGTGTAAGGTCATTTATCAAAATTGCCCTTCACTTGTAATGTCGACGTCTCTATATAAGTGAAATATTCTGGAGAGGGACGTTAAACATTAAACAATCAATAAATCAATCGAACTTGTTCAAATAACCTTGCGAAAATAATTATTCATTCAGGTTATGAGCAAACTCCAGCTGTGTATTACAGACGTCTCAATTTCTAAGAGTTTATTCATCCAGTGGTTACAGCGTATGCTCCAGAGACGCGAAGAAAGAAGTTGATCCTTACGTGGAAGTTTCGAATCCCCCAGTGGGACGTGGAGAGGTCCTTTGGATGAAATCGTATATACCAAGGTCATGTGTTGCAACATTTGCTGGCACAACCCCCCCCCCCCTGCTTTATGGCACTGACTGTCGAATAGAGGGCAAAATTTTCAACGTCTCAACCTGCAAGGGATGGGGTCAGTCCGGGTCTCAATAAGAGCGAAAAATTCTTGAAGTGGACGTTAAATATAAAATATTATTAGTCAACACAGGATGAAATGAAGGTTTCCGTAATTTGGAAACCCGATGATAACATGGGAATCTTGACATCAGTAGTTTCCCTTTAGTTTCCATTTTATGGAAACCACAAAGTGGGGTCGACATGGAAACAATGAACCTGTGGTTTCCCGTAAGTTTTCCAAGATAGGAAACAATGGAAACATGCCTCAGTGGTTTCCATATAGATACCCGACATGGAAGCCATCAATCTGTAGTTTTCCCCATGTTTCCAAGGAGAAGTCTGATTGCGTCTCGTAACTCTTAGAGATCATAGAACCAAAACGTGCCAGAAACTCTAAACTTTACAGTATTTCGAAAGGATCGATGTCATTTTGTCTAAAGGTCATAATGTGAATCCATCATTCCTATCAGGCTTTTGGGTGAATACTTCAACACTGTAGATAATCTACACCCCCTTTATTCTTCGAAAGTCATTTCAATACCCCGTATTCTTTTAAACAAATGGGGACAACAAAACGAGCCAGTCTACGAACGGGTTGATGAATGTGAGTAAACATGGTAATAATCAAGTCGTGCTGAAAGTATTCATGAAGATGGCAGAGGCTAGTTTTATGTAGATGACATTACCTTGTTATTTAGTTGGATGTTCAATGGAAAATTTTGAAATATCTGTACATGTAACAATGATACTGTTTAGCACCTTGATGAATTTGAAGCTTTTAAGAATAAAACATGTTCAACATATACTAATAGTGAAGTCACCAATTTCGTTGGCAAGCGGTAAATCTAGTTTTCCCAACGGTCCCGGATTACTAAGACCTATGACATAGAATGGAGACCCTTTTGTTCCAATGCTCTGAGAACAGCCGTCATGGTTTAACATGCACCACTTTCCCGCTACACAGACAGTTAGATATCATTCCTTGCGAACTTTAATGAGATTTAGACCGCGTATTTTAGATATAGATTGCGTACTCGAGATTAGTCCGAAAAATCTGACGTTTTTCTGGCTTTTTTACAGTTTTGATATTTTACATGCCAGGAAAACGTCAGAACGAAACTTGGTTGAATTATGCATATAGGGATGGACACTACCAGACTTGCTTCGGATGCTGCATCTGACCTACTTTTTAGCTCTACTGGTCAGAGTCCAGAAGAGCTTATGCGATTGTAATGCGTCCGGCGTCCGTTCGTCTGTCTGTCTGTAAACAACTTTTCAAAATGCTACTCCTCCTACAGTTTTGATCTAATTTTAATATAACTTGGCACACAAGTAGATTACATTAAGATACATAATTCTGTATATCGGATTTCGATGAAAAGTGTTGGCGTTTTTACTAAAAATAGAAATTTTTGTGAAATTCTTTTAAAATTATACTCCTCCTACAGTTTTGGTTTGATTTCAGTATAACTTGGCACATTGATGCATCTTGGGTATTTGGAGAATGTTAACCAAAAAGTATGTTATAGTGACCTACTTTTGTGACATTTTATGGCTATATTTATGTATCTCTAGTACTTTTCCATTTAGAATCATCATACTTTGTCAGTTGATGCATCATGGATTTTCGGAGAATTTCGACGTAAAAGTAGGTCATGGTGACCTACTTTTGAATATCTCAGGTATTTATTGGCTTAGAATTATCAAACTTGGTCAGCAGATGCATCTTGGGACTCTTAAAATATCAACCAAAATATAGGTCACAATGACCTTCTTTCGACATTTTATGGCTATATTTAAGTATCTCTGGTACTTATTAGTTAAGAATCATCAAACTTTGTCAGTTGATGCATCTTGGGTTTTCTGAGAATGTTGACCAAAGAGTAAGTCACAGTGACCTACTTTTAAATATCTCAGGTATTTATTGGCTTAGAATTATCAAAATTTGTCACTTGATGCATTTTGTGATTTTCAAAAATGTAGACCAAAAAGGAGTTCTAATTGGCTAAGAATCATAAAACTTTGTCAGGTGATGCAACTTGGGTCTTTTATAGGATACTTAGGGTAAGAGGCTTCAAATACAAGTGATAGGTTGCCGCATCTGCTTCCAGGCCCGTGCGCCTGACCTAAGCTTCCATATAAATTGCAGAATAACATTTGTACATACCAATGAACAGCAAGAGGTAATGGGTCAACCACCTCGTTTTCAAGCTACAATTCATCCTGTGAACCCACCCCGCTTTTCTGTTGAAATACCGGTAGAGTGAGTTTTGAGCTTAGTTTCGTATTTCTAGTCCATATCCCATATACAGTAGTAGTGACACTTAAATGTCATATTTCAAAAAAAATATGCAACGCAGTACTGTTAAGGCTACCGGGAGCTTATTATGCATTTAAAACGTAACACTCTTTTGCAAAAGTGATTTTTAGTTTTAATTTTAAGTTATGTACTTCAGTGCGCCAAATTCATACAGAGGATCCCCAAGGGTATATATAAACATATTTGATACGATATCACGTGACCTTGTTGATCACGTGACGGTCATTTCTTTTTTGAAATGTTTCACATAAATCGCTTCGGCGCAGGTTGTTAACACAATTATTATTTACATTTGTACATACATAAACTCTTTGCATCCTTGTGAAACCGAAATGTGCTTGGGAAAAGTTTTACTATTTATTTGGAACAATTTATTTCAGATTAACCCTTTCTCTACCGGCACATTTTACGTGATTTTAGAGACCTTCTGACATGGCATTATTATATTATTTCTAACTTTTCTATCCATGGAGAATACTAGGTATAATGCATACCATTTTGTAGGGAATTTCTTAGAGATGATATTTTTTGACAATTCAGATACTCAACGACTGACCTTATTAGTAAAAATAGAGGTCAAAGGTAAATTAAGTGCAAAATTTTATGGAATTTTTTTTATACTTTTTAATCTTCAAGCTAAATATTTACAAAGATGTATGTTGAAATAGGAAATTTGGGATATACCCACAAAAGGGCATTATACTGTACTTCATGAAACACATAAACTTTTTTTTTTAATTCTGCTTACATTTTCTTAAAAGCGGTTGCTAAGCAACGCAGAATTTTTCAATTTTCAGGCAGAATTTTTGTTTTTCACTCGTCCTAGACACATTTATGCATCCCAGCACATATTAAAGTTAGATATAATGCCATAAAATTACAAGCGACATAACAGCAGATAAACTTTTCAAAAGTTTGACCTCAATAGAACTATTTTTAGGAGGTCAAAGGTCAAATAAGTGCAAAAATTTCATTATTTTTTTTTCAACGCTTCTCAATATTTTTGCTTACATTTTACACAGTAGATGCAGAAACGAAAAATTCTGAATATACTCTCAAGAAGGGATCAGAACTGCAATATCCATACATCATTTTAGTTCAAATTTTTGCTTAATGACCTTTAAGTGGTTGCTAAGCAACAGCATTTTCAATTTTTTAAACTAAACACATGTACATGTTTGTTATTTCTCATTCTGGACACATTCTAGACACTTTTTGTATATTCCGTGATGTTGTTTGTAAGATATGGGCCCAAAAAAATGAAAGAACATTTTTGTATTAAGTATTGACCTTGACACTCTTGTTCTTAGGGGGTCAAGGTCAAATCAGTACAGAATTCAATTTCTACTTAAAATTGTAAGTATATATCAGTTTTGAAATGTTACAGTCATGGAAAAATCATCTAATAGTTGACTTAAAAAAACAGCGAACGACAAAATTTGCAAGCAAAAATTAATCTAAGAGGTAAAAATAAACTTGAATGATTTCATTGCAAGATTTTACTGGTATAACAGAGCTTAAGGGGTACAATAAAGAATTGACATGCCATCTTGAAAGGAAATAATAATACATTGCAATGGCAATTAATGCAAAACTGTTTTGACAATTGGTTGAAAAATGTTACGCTTATGTCCAAATATACAAATCACGAAATATTGCAAAATGAATTCCAGATCAGAATGATTAAATCTTCCACAAAATGTTGAAGACCAGAGCACTTTTACTTCGTGCCTCCATTCTTTCATCAACTGCCACTTCCCTGAAAGACTGGAGGAGATTCTTCTTTGACTTGTCTGTACAAGGGATCAGCTTCTATACTGTAAAAGATTTAAATATTTTTAAACAGATATGTGAATTTACGTTTATAAATAAAATTAAGAATGATACAATTAATACATTGATATTATTTTCCATTTGAAATAAAAATTTATAAATGCGATTCAAGTAGTTAAATTATATTATTAAGTCAATGTATCAGGACTAAAAATTCAACAACCTTGTAGTAAACCATCATGGTTGAATTACTGAACCAAAACAAATAGCATATTTGGTAATCTGACTAAAGGCAGACCTGCATTATATAAAGAAAAATTGTGAAGCAGATAGATCTAATTTTAATTAGATGCTATGAAAGTAATGATGGGACACTTCAAAATATTTTCAAAATAAGTAAAAATTAATTTGAGATCTCAAATTATACAATCCGTTTCCAAGAATTATCAATTCATTCCTTTGGTTTATAATTCGAGATCTCAAATTACGCAATTCAATCCTTCTGACTACTAATTCATTCCCTCAATTTTTTATTCTAGATCTATCTGCTCCACGATTTTTCAGAATATGCTCAAGAATTTCTCTCTCACGTGAAGTTGCCACCACTTGTAGGTGGACTGTTCTATATTTGACACTTATGACTATTGAGGTGTGAGGGATCTTTTTCATGCCAGCACTTACTGCAACAAGGCACCCTAATAGGTTTTTATAAGTATAATGTAAGATATGTTTATAGTGTCTTATCAGAAGGACAGGTCTCCAAGTCTCATAGTAAGATTTGAACCTGCGATGCAAGTATTAACTCCTTACTTCATGACTATTGAACCACTGAACTAGTCTAGTGACTCATGTACCTAGAAGTGTTGACTAATAGCCATCCAGTGGCAATAAGGAATTTTGACTGCAATAAAATTGACTTACAGCTGATAACTAAGCACCTATGTCCTCCACATCATGATCTTTTCTGTGCATGATGGCCAGTGGTGGGATTAGCAAGAAGGACTTCACAGATGAAAGTTCTGAGGATTTGGTACCAGCACACAACACACATGCTAAAAAAAAATTATGTGTTCGTGTTAATTAAGTCAAGTTTCATTTTTCTTTGAAGTGGTAATAAAAACTTCCCTACTTCAAAAACAACCCAAAAATAAGTCGAATTTGTTCGAACATCATCGCAAAACAGGGTTTAGATGCTCAGGCCAACAATATAAAAATTGATTTGTTTGATGTACACTGACGAATGACGACCTGTCAAAATTGCCCCTACCAAATAATTTTTTCAGCACTTTAAACTTTGAATTTATTTTCCTTCTTAAATTTACTAAAATTGTTTCATTTTAAAGGAAAGATTTTAAAATTTCTATAGGCTGCTTCGTGACTGATTGTTCTTCATGTTTTCATAGCAATACACTTGTGTAGCTATCAAATGTGTACTGTTAAGAAATCTCTTATTTTTATGACAGTTATCAATTTTCAGCAGTGTAAACCACCCCAAAATTAACAAATTACCTACCCATCTTGAAAAATGTGGGTCGGAGTACATCAAACAAAAATATTTCATTGATCAGTCAACACAGTATTCCATATTGAGAAAACAGTGACATTGTATTGTAAACAATTTTGTCATCGAAAAAAAAAACAATTTTTCTGATCGTTGAAAGAACTGAAAAGTATCATATGTGGGTTACCGACTATGTCAAATCACCGAACGGCTTCATATTGATCACATGCACGTGTGTAGCTAGAGATCAATCTACACAACTATTAATCCGAGATTCCTCTGACTCTAACCCCTGCTTTTATATTGTGAGTTGTGCACAAGTCACAATATAAAAGCAGGGGTTAGAGTCAGAGGAATCTCGGATTACACAACTATGTACAGTATATATATTATACACGTAAATAGAGGTCCTATGAAGACTATAATGTCTTTTCATTTCTATCAATGTACTGTAAAACACTTTTAAACTTTTCAATCAATACTTACTCACATCTAATGCCAAAGAAAAGACCAGTCACATCTGATGAATTGACGTGTTTTACATCGTAAATCCATAGTTGTTGTTGTTTACTGCAACAGCGGAAACACGTGTTAGTCTCGATTAATATCAACTCATACCGTAATGAGTCGTGTGAATGCGAGAATTTGTATTAAAACATAGTGTTTCAAAGTTGTTGTTTTTTATTTATTGTAAATTTCATGTCAGTATATGTTTAATAGTATATCATATTAGGAATATATTTTAAAGCAAACAGCAATAAAAACTTTTTTTTGACGTAATGTTAGACCTTTGGGAATCAGCGTTTTTCTTTTTATCAACAATGAACTAATAACACGTTTCATAAATAACAAAAAGACTACATTTCTCTAAAGGTGTAAAGATGATTACTATTATTTTTAAACAATTATTTTTTTTATAATCATTCATTTAAATAAAAATATTTTATTAAATTTAATAGTACTAAACACGTTGTTCCGAATGAGGCGCAACGAAAACGACCTTGACGTTAAATAACACTCGAATTTTCTACAAAAAAATACACAGAGGTTCAAAACTCAAACTATGATAATTCAGAAAATACCGAACATAAAGAGACAAGTAAAGGCTTGTTGAAACGGAAATTTTTTCTACTTTTACCAGCTGTATTTTGTTTTCCCTATTTCAATATAGAAATAAAGGTAAAACTGAGGTTAACTTAAATATTACGAATAAAACCCAGAAAAATCACATGCGTGGAAGAAAATTCTTGTTTTTATAAAAAAAAACCTAAAAGTAAAAGCAATAATTTTTACATATTTTAAAAGCAGAGAAAATATCCCTTTCAAACATATTAATTTTTTTATAATGATTTAATATAGAAAAAATATATCTATCGTCGGGAAAATCGTCCTTGCTTTGGAAAATAGCGTCATTTTTAAAAAGTCACGAATGTCTTTAAAACGTAAAATCTATTCATTACCAATTTTTAAGGTTCGAAATTTTTACAGGGTCTGAAAGTAGAGAAAATTTCCTAAACGATGATATATAGATTATATACCTTTATTCTATTATTGAAAAGATACGGAGATCCTGTTATCGCGATGTCGTGTTTTTACGCGCTATCGGTCATATTGACCGATGCGGTAGAGAAGGGGTTAACTTCAACTTACCGACAAATCTGAGGGTATTTTCCACCGAATATCGTCAACTGTTTTAAAATAAAGCCATAATACATATTTCCCAAGCAAGAATCAGTTAGAGGGGAAACTCTTTTACATATTTCTATAAAATATGTTAAATAAATCCTCATAAACAACCTGCGCCAGGCTCTTTTACACACATATTTTGAATTGTGCCTTTGTCCACGGGTATAAAAAAGGGTAAATATCAAACGTATATTTTCGTACGGAGTTTGAACACGCTGACTCTTAAAAAAGAGTAACAAAGCAAGGTTATCTATATTATTCGGATATATTACAGTTAAAAAAGTGATAAAAACACGTTTATTTTAAACTAGAATTCTGCAACTTTATATGCAGAATGAAATAAAGGTGTAACGTTTATGACATTCTCCCTATCATAACAGCTCAAGTATGCAGTGACTTGACGTCATTTTCAATTATGACGTCATACATTTGTAGTTCAGAGAAATTCATGCACAGAGTACACTACAATATTCTCTGGGAAGCCTTATCGTACCTGCGAAGGCCACTTATTCCCTCCAAATGCACCCATAAAAAATCCTAGCTATAAAATTACCTATAATATGCATTCAAACCTCAGGTTTCTCTGTTTTTTTTTTCTACGCAGCTAGGATAAGGCTGCCCGTAAAATATCAAACTGTTCAAACTGTAGTTACTTCTCTGAACTACCTAGATATGACGTCATAATAGAATATGACGTCAAGTCACTTTATACTTGAGCTGACATGACGGGGAAAGTGTCATAATTATTACACGGCATGTAGATTTATTATGGTGATTTGTGTTTAATTCAAGTGTAGGGTTTGTTTTTTAAGCTTGTGTGTGTAGTTATAATGTTTAACATTTGATATTTAAATATCTCTATTCCGTTTGTTTGTTTGATATGCATATATTCAAGCAATAGCAAAAAATTGTGTTTGAAACGCTCCCCTAACACTTCCGTAGACAGAGTTAGAATTTATGAATCGTGTTTATATTGGACTAGCACAAGTGAAAGACAAGGATAAATTGAAGATATTCTGCGTGAATCTGAAAGAGAAGTATGTCTTCTAACTGAATTTTGCTGGGGGATTGTATATAGTTTAAATGTTTTTGTATAAATCGCGATAAAGAGTGGAAAATACCCCTTCTTACGTTGGTAATTTTAATTTATCGTAAAATATTTTCTTAAGAAGAAAAAAATTAAACCTGCCCCCAGCACTTTTTAGGTACCATGGATCACGGTGAATAGATCTATGTAACAAATTTTGCACAAAAAATGTGTTATGCACTTGTGCCGATGCGATTTTTGTGCAACATTTAAGAATATCAAAAATGTCCGTCACGTGATCAACACAGTCATCTGACATCACAGAAATGCTTTATTATAATACCTGATTAAACTGTTATCTCACGTTGACTACAATTTCCAACAAGGATAACATATTGAAATTAAAATCTAGCTCAAAATAAATTGTATATTTTTTTTTAGACATTTTAAGCCTTCGGACAGCCTTATCATAACTGCGTATTTTTTTGACCGGTACTTTATTCGAAATTATACTCTGCCACCTAATATTTCCTCTTTGTAATAAAACACAAAATAGTAGTAAAACGTATATTAAATCCAAATGAAAGTAAAATATAATCCAATCAATGTTCTAAAGTATTAATCCAAAAAAATTGAATGAAAGGCACTTAGAATAATTTTTCCAAAATAACTCAAGTTAAATTCCCATTGAAATCCTCTTCCAAATTACTCTCAATAAAATCTCTAATAAAAATCTCTCTCATCATCCTAAAAAATTACCCCCTTATATAGTTTATGACTCCTCTCATTGCTCCTCTTAATCACCCCTGAACTAAACTAATTAGGGACAAGCTATCAGATCTAAATGCTATAAATCACTAATATTGTATAAAGCCTCCTCCTAGCCTAATTAACAGCTCCCCATGACCTGTTCGCAGTCTGGGTTAAGACATTGATAAACAATCTAGTCTACGAATGAAAGTAAAATAATAAAAACATACTAATCTACTAATTAAGAAAAGCAAATGTAAGCAAATGTAAGAAAATAATAAAAATAAAAAAAATAATTATGTTACGTTTCCCCCTGCTTAGCTTTGTACCCCGTACAAAATAATGATAAAAAAATGAAAGCCTTTCAAACAAAAAAAAGACAATGTAAATAATAAAAGCAAATGATAAAACAAAATCAATGATGTACATCATCATATATGCAATGATAGCAGTTTTAAACTAGAATGCTAATAAATGATGAATTAAAAGAAACAGCATTAAAATGTCATCTATTTACAAGTTTATACACTGTCACAGTTCATTCCTTCCTCTCATTTGAATTGTCCGTGAAATCGTCCATGAAATTGTTTATCAAGTCTATCACTGGCACCTCTTTTATTTCTTCGGAATAAGAAAAGTTTATTTATTTACTATTTCCGAAAGTCCATCACGGTTTTTAATTCTTCTATGAATTAGTTAGATTGTGGTCGATTTCTTCTCCTCAGAAACCTATCGATATGTCTGCTTTATAGTATGTAGGACATACTAAATAATTTATATACAAAATATGAAAAAAAATTGAATGACAGGTATTTTTTCAACTAAAGGCCCTTCATTAACAGCTAAACGAAACTCCTCTGACTCACTACAGTTGTTATCCCGCGAGGATCCGGGTTAGAATAGGTCTTCAGTACCCCCTTGCTTGTCCTAAAAAGCGACTAAATGGGGCGGTCCTTTGAATGAGACCGTATAAACCGAGGCCCCGTTTCACAGCAGGTGTGGCACGATAAAGATCCCTCCCTGCTCAATGGCCCTGAGTGCCGAGTATAGGTCCAAATTTTCAGCCCTTCACCGGCAATGGTGACGTCTCCATATCAGTGAAATATTCTGGAGAGGGACGTTATACAGAATATATCAATCAATCACTACAGTTGTCAAGGAAAGTATTGAGACTAGTTTCCTGTACATATTCCCTGCTTTCCGGATAAGCTCGTTTGTAAAAGTCTTGGATAGCTTGTCCAAAATGTACGCTTAAATAAGGGAATTCCTAAAAGATCCGCTCCAATAGATTCTAAATTCTCATTGGTTGTCCTAAAATAAAATTTATCAAGGTCAGTAAACATGGCGGATAAACTCAAGTTGTGAAATTGAGACACGAAAATAACCGATATATGGGTCGTTGTGATTATTTTTGGATCGAATTATGTCCTGCATAATTACTTTTCTGGAGTCCATGTACGAAATGATAATAAAATAGCCGTTTACTGATGATTTGAGCCGAAATCCGTGCAGGAGTGATTCACTGCCGCATTTACACCATTACGGAGATCATAAGTAATCCCTAGATCCTAAGAGATCCCCCCAAAAAAACGGGGATGGCTACATTATTCATCATTCATCACTATCATTCAGACTAAAAACAATAAAACCTACCAGCATGCTATCAAATACCAGTTTCCAAATAAATTTGATACTTAAAAGTGTTGATTATTGTAAGAACAGCATGATAAGGTAATATTCATTTGTATAGGTATATCAATGAGATAGCACTTATACATACCTCTAGTATGTAGTACACGATTCCTTAACTTGGAACCTGATATTATTACACAAATAATGGTTCATTGAAGGGTGAATGTAGCAGAACGACAGATATGTTACTGACACACCCTTTCTGAAAGGAAAGCTTACTCGCACTGCTTCCAAGCATTTTCATCTTTAGCACGGAACTGTAGGTCATAATGTATGCTTTGTGCGCAAGCTCGCCCCTTTTCTTCTTCAGCTGATTCGGTAAATCCGTCCTGATTGCCACATCTTGTGGTAAGGTTACTCCTCTTGCATGGTTTAGTACTTTATTTCCGTCCCAATCTTGGCAAATTTAACTACGAGTGCCTCTGGTGCGTCCGGTTTGTATGTGTTCTGTGGTTTCCT